AGTATGGGCATAAGTTTTTTGAATAAAGAGTTGAATCCATTGGATGTAGGATATGTAGATATGGAGGGATAATTTTATTTTGAAAGTTGAGTTTATTATACTTTCTAATGGATTATATATGGTTATGCAAAAGGAAAAAACTGCATTTATTTATTTACTTCAGTACTAGGGATTCATCCCATAGGCACTCTACCACTGAGTTACATCCCCAGCCCTTTTCCTTTTTTGAGATAGGGTCTGGGTAAGGTGCTGAAGCTGGCCTTGAACTTGTGGTCTAGTTCTCTTGCCTCAGTATCCCAAGTCAGTGGGATACAGGTGTGCACCACCACACCTRGAAAAACTGCATTTATTAAGGTGGGAAACACAAGAGGGAGAAACAAGTTTAAGGGAAAAGTTAAGTTTATAAAGTTTCAGATGGCCACTGCCATCAAGTAATTACAATATTAAGGCAAAATAACAGTTCTGATATTTTTATATTTAATATTTTTGCCTTAGTGAGTTGAAAGAATAATAATAAAAGCATACATCATACAGATACAATGTAATTCTGAATTATGATGAAATAAATTCCTTATATTTCAAACACAAGATAAATATATTCTAGTATTAGGGTTCTCTAGAGGAATAGAACCAGCAGGATATGTATGATTATAAAAGGGGATTTATTAGATTGGTTTACATGATCAGAAGCTGGATAGTCCCACAATAGCCACCTGTATACCAGCAAGCTGACAGAACCAGTAGTGGCTCAGTTCTAGATGATTGTTTAGGAAATAATTATAAACAGGAGAGACTAATGATACAACCTCAGTCTGAATATGAAGGTCTGGAAGCCTCTGGACAATCACTGGTCAGAGTACACATTGGAAGAGTGAAGAAACCGGACTCTGATGTACTTGATGGCCAYAGCAAATAGGGTACCTGATCAAGGAAACTAGAGCTCACACCCACAGGGCTTCCTCCTCCTTCTGTCTTTTGTTCCAAATGGGCCCCCAGCCATTTGAACAGTGCTGCCCATGTTCAGGGGAAGGGTCTAAGCTGTCCTTCTCCATTTGTGGTCCCACATCTGGAAACACCATCATAGAATCACTCAGAAGCCTCTCAATCCTTGGCAACTCTTAATCCAATCAAGTTGACAATGAAAGTTGATCATTGCACATTCATAGGTGAAATACTTTGGACCAAAAGTGTGTTGGATTTCATTTTTTTTTTGGGGGGGGGGGTTGGAATACTTGCATATGTATAGTTGAGAGGTATCTTGGAGATGGGACCCCAGTCTAAGAACAAACTTTGTGTTCCACATTTTTAAAAAATATTTTTTAGTTTTAAGTGGATGAAATATCTTTATTTTACATTTATGTGGTGCTGAGGATCGAACTCAGTGCCTCAAGCATGCTAGGGGAGCACTCTACCACTAAGCCACAACTCCAGCCCATTTTCCACATTTTTTATTGGTGCATAATTATACATAACGGTGGGATTTGTTACATACTTGTACATGCACATGATATAACAATTTCACCAATATCATTCCCTCATTTTCCTCCCTGCCTCCATTCTCCTGATCCCTTTCCTCTACTCTATTGCTCTCCCCTGACCCACCTTTCTTTTCCTTTTTCCTCTCTAGCTTCCACATGTGAGAGAAAACATACGACCTTTGACTTCCTGAGTTTGGCTTATTTCATTTAACACAATGTTCTCAAGTTTCATCCATTTTCCTGCAAATGACATAATTTCATTCATCTTTATTACTGAAAAAACCTCCACTGTGTATATATAGCACATTTTCTTTATCCATTCATCCATTGACACGTAGGTTGGTTCCAGAGTCTGTGATTGTGAATTGTGCTGCTATAAATATGAGTATGTTTGTATCACTATAGTATGCTGACCTTTAATTCTTTAGGATAAATACTGATGAGTGATATACCTGGGTGATATACTGGTTCCATTTCTAGTCTTTTGAGGCATCTCCGTACTGACTTCTATAGTGGTTGTACTACTTTATAATCTCAGCAACAGTATAAAAGTATTCCTTTTWCTCCACAACTTCTCCAGTATTTATAATTATTTGTATTCTTGATCGCTGCCATTCTAACTGGAGATCAAATCTCAGTAAACATGAAATTTATGTATCTCATTTGTATACCATATATATATGTATATTCTTTTTCTTTGTTGTGGTGTATGTAGTATTGGAAATTTAACCTAGGGTACTCTACACCACTGCACTATGTCCCCATCCTTTTCATTTTGAGACAGGTCTCACTAAGTTGTCAAGGTTGGTCTTGAACTGTGATCCTCCTGCTTCARCCTCTGGAGTTGCTGGTATTAAAGGAGTGTGCCACTGCACCTGGCCTTCATATACATCTTATACACATATTTTGTAAGCAATTTTATACAATATTTTTTAGCATGCCTTCGTGCAATTTGTGTGCCTGAATTTTGACTGTGACCCATTGTATGAGATCTGGTATGGAATTTTCCACTTTTGGTGTCATGTGGTACTCAAAAAATTTTGGATTTTGAAGCATATCTTATTTTGSATTAGGGATGCTCAAGCTGGACCCTGGAATAAAGGACCTACTGAAAAACTGTTCAAGATCTGAGATATTTGTAGTGCATTACTTTATGAATAACCTATTTCATTAGTGTTTTCATACAGTAATAGTTTTGAATAGTTTAAAAAGCTGCATGCTACTAGTTTTTCATTTTTTTCCTATTGCCACTGCTTTTAATATAAATAAACTTCATACTTTAAAAAAACTAGAATTCTTTAAACTATTAGTTTAAAATCTTGGACAGGGTTAGTATTAAAACTTAATGATATTGGGGCTGGGGATGTGGCTCAAGCGGTAGCGCGCTTGCCTGGCATGCATGTGGCCCAGGTTCGATCCTCAGCACCACATACAAAGATGTTGTGTCCGCTGAAAACTAAAAAAAAAAAAATAAATAATAAATATTTTTAAAAAACTTAATGATATCAACAACCACCTTTTAAGGAGCAAGGAAAGAACCTTGCTAAGAGTTTTTTATAGTCTCATTTGAATTTCACAACAATGTACTTAGATTTTGGAGGAAAGAGTCTAGTAGAGACCACTGAAGTAAATGATAGCTAAGATGAAAAACAAATATTTTAAAGTGTTAAACAAGCTGGGTATCATGAGRCAAGCCTGTAATTACAGACTTGTGGGGTTAAGGAAGGAGGACTATAAATTCAAAGTCAGCCTGGGCATCTTAGCAAGACCCTATCTCGAAATAAAAAATGGYAGAGGGCCAAGAATGACAATAAACAAACCAACCACCTTAACAAAACTAACAATGGTAACAACATTGTCAGAGGTTGTGTAAAGAGCAGAGTGGGATCTGAGCCCCAGCTGTCTTACTAGTGGGTATGCTTCTCTCTCCCCTCTCTATTTCTCTTTCATTTCAGTGTCTTCAACTGAAAGTGTGGGAGACAAATAGCACCTATTCTGACTATCTCACATGGTTGTAGGGGAGAATAAAATGCATATAAAAGTGTTTTGTTAATGGCATATGTTAGGAATATGAAGGTTTGAATAATTTCTTCTTGGAGGATCCCCTCCCCCAAATTTTTAATTTTCACTTCATTTAAAAATAACTTCAGTAATCAATGGGGGTAATTGTTTAGTTTCCATACTATTGCCTTCCACCATACACAATGGATAACCAGTAATTATTTGATTTCAGGAATTAACTTGTGGATTTTTACTAGTTCTATGAACTGTATATCATTGGCTCTCAATCAAGTTACATTCAAAACATTTTTGTACTGGAACTATTTAGGGTGCAAATGGATTCTGTAATATATAAGGTTTTCAAAAGACAACCACCTTTCTTCACATTTTGAAATAGAAGCAATCATATTCACTAGGGTATGTTACTACCTTCCCCACGGCCCAAATCCTCTTTCCCTGAGCACAATTACTTCCCCAATTGCTCTATACAATCTCTTTGGACTTTTCCGTCAGTTGTTTCCTTGCAACACTAACTTTTCCTTTTACGTATTACTTAGATGTCACCTTACAAAAGGCTTTACAGACCCCCTTGTGGACACCCTCACGTGCCCCTACAAGCCTGGCACTGCAGTCCTTGTAGTCACCTTATTACACTGTTTTAAAATAGTTTGTCTTCTTCAATAGACTGTTAATTCTGGAAAGGCAGTGTCCATGTTTGCCTTTTTCATTGTTTTATCCCTCGTACCTAGTATTTTTTTTCAACAAATAATTTCTTGACGGAATAATGAGAGTAGCTTGGCATTTTAGACCGAAGATAATGCTCTCCAGCTAATAGGCTTGGTTTTCTGATATTCCACTGATTGAATACTCCAGTTGATACTTTTTCACTTTTTTGGAGTTACCCAGGATTCCAATTGGGAACCCATTTGTCTGAAAGATTGAGTTCTCAGTCTGTAGAACTACCGCCGACAATGTATGGAATCGAAGGACAGGAATTTAATGACTGATCCAGGAGCGACTGTTATGCCTTCTAGGCAGTGAGCAGGAAAGAGGACCATCAGGAGTCACCAAAATCACAGGAAAGGAATAAGACTAGCTTTTTCCTGCCCTCGCGGAGAACTCAGCACAAACCACCTCCTCCAGCGCGCCAAGCCGTTAGTCCCGCCCGGTCCAACTCGGCTCCACCCATCTGGCGCGCCCACCACTACTAAACCCTAGCCGCCAGGGTGCGCGACGCATTCCTAAGCCCCGCCTTCTGGGCGAGGGCGCGCTCCCCCTCCCAGCTCGGCCGTAAGCAGTTCCGTTAGCAGCGGGAGGAAAAACCGTCCTCCGCGTCCCCGCCTCTCCGCTCCTAACGCTTTACTCCCTACTCCCCCTGCGACCACTACACCAGCCGGCTACGGAGGCCCCTAAAGTACAAACATCCCCCTTGCCCTGGCGTATACAGATAGGTTTTGTCCTTTCTTATTCCATTCGGTCCTAAGGTATTGTATTCATTTTTTGTCAAGAATCTAGACTCACGAGTTTCTTCGGGCGTCAGGAACTTAACCTCTTCACGGAAGTAAAAGTCGAACCCTCCAACCCCCTCAGYTGTGGCCGCCTGCATTCCTTCCCTCCCGCCTCGAGGAATTGTGGAGGGAGGGGGAGGAGAAAGTCATAGCGCCTGCGCGGGGAGGCCGCTTTTCATCCGGGTCCCCGTCCGTGCGGTGCAGCAGGTCGGTAGGCGGGAAATGGCGACTGGCTGAAGGAGCTGGTTCTGTTGCTGCTGTGGGCTAAGCGCGAAAGACACCCCACACTGCGCATTCGGGACCATCGCCGGAGCCTGAGGACACTTCTCTGTCGTCACAGTTAGGTAATCCCTTCCGTCCAGACGTTGCCTCTGCTCCCAACCTAGTCCTCCTCTTCCAGGGCCGTCTGCCGGGATCTCCTCCCCTTCTCAACCCGGTCCTTCAGTGGGTCCAGCGCGTTGGTATGCATGCACTATTGGCTCTTCGAACGTCCGCTGTGTGGAGCCGCTTTTCCGTGGACTTTCCCCTGGGAACGGAAAAGAAGCTCACTTCCCGCCAGCTTCAGCTCTTAGGCTGCGGCCTGTGTTGTGATTTCTGGGGTTAGATTTCACTTCGCTACCCACCCCCACCCCGATCTCACGTTCTTAGCCTCCAACCCTGTGGTTCCTCTGGGTAATTAAGTTAGAAAATCACCATTTCTAACCTTCCTGACCCACCCTGTGTTTTCGGTATTTAATTCTGTTTTAGTAGGGTCCTTTTAGGGGGGCGTTGCTCTACCTCACTTCTTATAAACATCTTTTGAGAATCTGGAAGAAGGTATTTCACTAAGTTCTGTTTATCTTGTGTACTGTTAAAATGTTGACATTCTTTTTCAAATCAAGAGTGGTAATAAAGAACTGCTCTTGTGGGAGGTCTCTGGTTTCCATAGTGGTCAGTTACGGGCGAATCTTGTAAGTTAATATTCTCTGTTTTCTTTGGGTATCAAATACTTTTGTGAATGTTTACTGTTGCATCTTGAACAGAATTCTGTGGTAAATAATTGCATAGGTAAATCGTGTTTATTTACTTCTCACCCTACTGGTAGCTGGATGTGTGAATGATGTTAAGCACTTTACAGTACCTTAGGGAAGCCTAAAGAGATACTGCTCCTAAACTTCCCTAAGATCCTGAAATGAAATGTTCTTAGTAGATGTTCCTCCAAGGCAGGGATTTATCTTTATAATGCTAGTAAAGCAATACTAAGATTATTGCTCTACGTGGATATACAAATTAGTGACTTGAAATGATAGATTTATCTGCATAATTTTCAGATTGTAGATTGCTTAATATTCCAACTCACCATTCCTTGCCAAGTTTTACATTTTTATTTGTAAGTCCAGCTGTTTTTTTTAAACAAAAGCAGGAAAATGGCAAATTAATGCTAGTTTTATACCCATCCTTTCTTTTTWAAAATTTTTTTACCACGAATCAAACTAAGATTAAAAATAGTTCATATTTTATGTTAGTTGATTTACAACTCAAAAAGCTTTCAGTTCTGGAGGTTCCACTTACAGAATACAGTTAGCATGGTATTAGGATTGAATGTCAGTAATTAGTAGGAATATGCAAACATCATTGTAGCCTTCTTTTGGTAGACTTTGCCCAAGGTCATAAAGAAAGTCAAGTCTTTTACTAGAGTGAGTGGAACCTCTTAACTTTTCTAGGACCAATTGAAAAGAGGATGGAAGTGGAGAAGTGGGCTTGTTGGATATTTGTCAAATCGTTTTGTTTAAAAAATGGAGCCAAATGTGTGACTTAACAGGATCTAAAATAAGGAGTCTAGTGTTGGCTTTTTTTGTATTTTAATGATCTTTTGGGGTAAGTTTTTGATAAAATTTGTTTTACAGGTAACTTAGTGAGCATTGCAGGCTATGCCCCCAAGAATTTTTCTAAACTGTTGAGTACTACATTCATTCAGTACTTATGCCTTTTTTTGTGGTATCCAGAATCAGACTTGGCCTCTTGCATGCTAGGCAAGTGTTCTGCCTCTGACCTATACTCCCCAGCCCTTTTAAAAATTTTATTTTGAGACAGTCACCCTAAATTGTCCAGGCTGCTCTTGAACTTGTGATTCTCCTGCCTTAGCTTCCCAAGTGGCTGGAATCATAGGCATGCATACTTATGTCCTCTTTCAATACTTTTTTTCCAGCATGGATTGAAAGGATGTAAAAGTTAAGTGGTATAGTCCTTAACCTTGTGGACTTGTAATTATGTACAAATTTTAAGTAGCATTGGTATATTTTACAATATTTCATTCTACTCAATGTCTCTTGGGCATTTTATTTCAGCTAGTAATATTATTTTAAGAAATTAAGGCTGGGTGGGATGGAGTATATCTGTAATCCCAGCAATTTGGGAGTCTGAGGCATGAGGATCACAGGTTGGAGACCAGCTTTAGCAACTTAGCAAAGCCCTAAGCAGTCTCAAAATAAAAAATAAAAACGCGGTGGGGATGTGGCTCAATGATAGAACACCGCTGGATTCAATTCCCAATACTAAAAAAAGAAATAATTAATAATTGGTGAAGTTTTATCTTTTCCCATTTAATCTAGCTGATTCCAAGTTTGTGATTTTGGTCAAGTGACTTCTTCATGAGATCATTGACATATAATCGTTCTAATTCTTGTTAAAGWAACTTGGACCTAGCTGGTCATGATGGTGCACACCTGTATTCCCAGTGATGTGGGAGGCTAGGCAGGAGGATCATACGTAAGTTTAGGGCCAGGTTCAGCAATTTAACGAGGCCCTAAATAATTTTGCAAGATTGTCTCTAAAAAATTAAAAAATAAAAATAAAAAGGGCTGGAGTGTGGCTCAGTAGTAAAGTGCCTCTTGATTCAATCCCTAGTACCAAGAAGGAAAAAAAGAAAGAAACTTGGACCTGTTATTTTAAAAAAAAAGATATGCTAGACTCAAGACTAAAAAATACAGAATTAATTGCTGGATGAATAAAATCGTATTGAATTATCTTAGTCGTAGGAGACTGCTTTGGATTAATGTGGTAAAAAATAAAGTGATTTGGGCTGGATTGTGGCTCAGTGGTAGAACAGTTGCCTAGCATGTGTGAAGCACTGGGTTCTATCTCAGCACAGTATATAAATAAATAAAATAATAAAGTCCATTGACAACTAAGAAAACACTAAAAAATAAAGTGATTTGCCAGAATTCGAAAAAAGCAGTATCTAATTCTGTAGGTATGTTTCTTTGAAAGCATAAAATAGTAAAGACTCCTTAAGTCATGTATATCAAATATGCTGAGAGAACCTCCTATATGGTGTGCCTTTGTGTAATTTATATGAGTAGTTTAAAAAGTTACCTAGGGCTGGAGTTGATGTAGCTCAGTGGTAGAACACTTGCCTAGCATGTGTGAGGCACTGGCTTCTTTCTCAGCACTGCATATGAATAAATAACAATGAAATCCCATCAACAATGAAAAAAACATTAAAAGAAAAAAGTTACCTAACCATTTTAAACAGGATTGGCTCTGGAGGATCATTTGCTCTACTTTGAGGATGAGGGTATTTAACAGATATGACACCTATTTTAAAACTAGACAATTGCAATTTTAGTTTTCACTTAAATGACACTTGCCCTGGGGCATATTTCTAGCCAGGATATAAATTTGCTAATGGCTATATGACTACATTAACTTTTAATTTAAACTCAACTAAACTGTAATTGGAACTACATTACAAATAAGTAGACTAGCTTCTTGAGGTGTGGTATAACTTGTGAATTGCAAGTGCCCAGTTTATTTTGTGTCTAGTGTCTAATGGAATTCTTTTGAAAATGCACTGTTTAAAATTACAAATTCAGGGGTTGGGGTTGTGGCTCAGTGGTAGAGCGTTTGCCTGGCATGTGTGAGGTGCTGGGTTCGATTCTCAGCACCACATAAATAAAGGCTCATCAACAATTAATATACATTGATTTTTTTTGTACTGAGGATTAAACCCAGRGGCATTTTACCACTGAGCTACATCCCAGCCCTTTTAAATTTTTGAGACAGGGTTTCCCCAATGTGCTTAGGGCCTTGCTAAGTTGCTATAGCTGATCCTGAACTTATGATCCTCCTGCCTCAGTCTCCCTAGGCACTGGGATTACAGACATGTGCCACTGTCTAGCAATTTACCATATAAACTTGATGTCAGACAGTTGAGGGTTCAGAGACAACAGAACATAGGAAAATTAAGTTAATGTACTGGCTGTTACTAGGAGAGTTGTGCAATGTAGGAGTGTTTTCTAGAAAAGACAGATATAATGGGGGTAGAATCATAGTGAGTAGCTTGGGCCTCTTGGAGCCTTTGGCAGTTTTGTAAATCTGGCAGTAAGGAATGGTGAGACTTAGTGTGGCCCTTATGTGAATCACAAGACATTACAAAAATGTAATTTTTTTTTTTTTTTTTTTTGTACTGGGGGTTGAACCCAGAAGTGCTTAACCGCTGAGCCACATCCCTAGTTCTTTTTTATTTTTAATTTTGAGACAGAATCTCACTAAGTTGTTAGGGCCTTGTTAAATTGCAGAGGCTGGTCTTGAACTTGGGATCTTCCTGCCTCAGCCTCCTGAGCTGCTGGAATTATAGGCATGCATCACCACCCTGTCAAACAAAGAATTAAAAAAAAWTTTTTTGTTGTTGCACCTGGACACAATGCCTTTATTTTGTTTATTTATTTTTATGTGGTGCTGAGGTTTGAACCTAGTGCCTCACACATGCTAGGCAAGCACTGTACCATTGATCCATAACCCCAGCCCACAAACATAGAATTTTAACATCAGTTCACAATGGACCATTTGACTCTGTTAGGGACCTCATATGTAAAGGAATTATGTATTTATATATTGAATAAAAGGAATTATGTCTAGAGTTCTAGCAGTCAGGCTTTCATGTTAGTTGTCCAAACACAAGGAAATGTGTTTATTGCTGTTGGTTAAAGAAATATAAAACAATATACTAGTAAAAAGGCATTTGAATACTTCAGAAATAATTGGGATTAAAGTTTATTAATAGCAGTTTGTATATTTCAGGAAACTTTCTTCTAGGATGAAAACTTAATGGAGAAATTAGGAAACAAAAAAAGCAATGAAGTTGTTTAAAATAAATCTTAAGACCCTGTTAGTGGGGCTGTGGTTGTAAGTGGTAAAGTGCTTGCCTAGTATGTGAGGCACTGGGTTCAAACCTCAGCATCACATTAAAAAAATAAAGATATAAAAAATACAATAACATTATTTTAAAAAAAAGACCCTGTTAGCAGGATAACCTGATATTTTATAAGTTTCTCATGTTGACTAATGAATGTAATCTTTTGGT